CGTTGATGGGAGTTTGAAGATTATCAAAGAAAAAGTGGATGCCACTTCCCTCACGAGTCACAACCTTCCCATTGCAAATAAGCTCATCACGATGCTCTGTCGATCCGAGGAAAGGGACGCCTTGTTCGACCAAATATCTTCTCTCCTAGATCCGCTGTTTCAAGAGAACGTGTACCTAGAATCTGCGACCATCGCCGCATTGACACACATGCTCCTTTATCGCAATGATCTCGAGGCTGTTTCAGAGTTGCTACGTCCACGACTAGGCAGCTACAGCGACGAACAGAAGATGCCAGTGCGAGATGCGCTCGCAGAGTACATTACGGACAAAAGCCAGCCCGATACAGACGTGTGGAATGCATACGAGCTTCTGAGGATCGCTTTCCCGGAAACATGGGTCTCGGTCCGCACCAAAATCATGACCTTCTTCTTCAACCGGAAGCGCAGTGATCTTGCCGTCTTGGTATTTGGACATATGCGTCAAGCCGACGAACCTAGTCGACGCCCTAAGGCAGACACCTATGCCCGCTGTTTCCAGGGCCTGGCTCGCACGGCAGATGCCACCAATCTCGAGCTTGTGCACAACATGCTGAAGCTGGATCTCGAAGTGGATCTCAACACGAGAATCCAAAATGGGTTGATGATGGCGTATGCCGCGTGCGAGATGCCAGACAAGAGCATGGAGATTTTCCGACAGATTCTTCAGTCGGAGGAAGGCCCTTGTCACAAGACTATCACGATTTTCTTCAAGGCCTGCGAGAAACATCACAATGGTGCCCAGGAGGCTATCAAGATGATGAGCAAGGTCAAGAAGCTGGAGATCACTGTGAATCGCCCCCTCTACTCGGCATACATGGAAGCCTTGGCAGCGCAATGCGAATTTGATCTGGCCGTTGAGGCTATTAATAACATGGAAGCCGAGACTGGGCTCCCTCCTACAAGCAATACGTGAGCACACCTTCATTTGCTTCCCGTGATACGATCGCTAATATGAGTCCTAGTATCGGGTTGTTCTACAACGCCATTCCGTATCAATACTGGAAAGACGAGGTAGAGAAATGGGCCAGTCAGAAGTATCCCGAGCATTGGGAGCATCTGATGACGATGAAACGCACTGATCAAGAGGAAGGGTTGGAGTTTGATGGAATCTCAAATGAGGTGTCAGTGTAACAAGTTTTATATTTAAAGTAGCCAGCCAATTTATCCACCTGGCACTGATCAGCGCCTTGGAGCTCAAACCAACAACCATATACGGTCAGTCAGGGTCAGCCAAAGCTAACAGTTTCGCTGTATTAGCTCCTCAAGACACGCCACAACTCAGCCTCCTGTAAGTAACTTGGATGAAGAACAGGGTTGGTATTATGAATTTTTGCGGGATAATCCCGATGACGCCCACCCTTCAATCTGCCCCAAATTGAGCTCGACCAGGTGGACTCCATGGAAGATTTTTTTCGCTGAAGTGGGACGGGCCTTGTTTAATCCCTATTTCCCCTTCCCCGTGTTTGTTCACTCCATGGATATTTGGCCACTATGGCAGAGTCTTTCGCACGTACGCCTACTGACTTGCAACGTTCACATACAATTGTCAATTTGGAAGAGAGGGCTACACGTACTGTCCATGATAGAAAACGAATCCCTTGAGAAACCAAACTCTGGCTGAACGAACTACTAGGGCTTTTGTGAGCTAATCCCCCTAAACCGCTGTTGCAGAATGAGAGTGATTAAATCGCGACGTTCCCACGCGATTCGACTTTATATACGATGTTGAAAAACAATCCTCAACGACAAGGCCCTGAAGACGGACTGCCGCATAATCGCCCAACGACCCACTCCAGGCTAATTGACCCAAATCTCATGCATAAAGCAACTGGTGCGCAGAGCCTTGTGTTTGGAAGATTTGATAGCTGGTCTGCGTGTTTCGAGCAATTACGCTCTTTTGAGGAGGGGAAGGAGGCGACTGCGTTCGAAATCTGCCTCATTGACCCCGACACAACACACCGTAGCCCTGTGCTTACCCTCATTCAAAAACTCTTCCTTGTCGGTGATGATCGCTTTCAACTAGTTTGCTCCGCACCGAGTCAATGGTCATCCGAATTTTGCAAAGTCTATGGAGATTAGGCGATAAAACAGTGACCAACGTCACGGAAAGCTTGTGTTTATAGGAGCCTTGTCTCCCGGCATGGTAACTGCCTCCTCATCTTACAGTGCCTAGCCCATGGAAGACCGTATATCTGTGCTAACTAGGCATGATAGGCAACCAATCACAGATAGCTATCATGGGGGCACCTAACAGCACTTCTCTTGTGGCTCTCAGGTTGTTAAAGCCAGACTCATGCTACATATAGGATCAAGGGAGAAACCTGAAAGCGAAGGGGATTTGATAAAATTGTCTAGTGATCGTTTGCCTAGTCTATGCAGTCACCAATCTAGACACTAGATATAGGGACCCAGATAAGAAGAAAGATTTCCATGTTGGGAGGTGAGCCTTTATAACAGAGCCAAGGCGCAGAATAAACGCCCTTGCTCTTGCAGTTGCAAAGTTTTGTCCCGGATGGACGCTGACAAGCCCATAAATTCAAAATGTGCCCATGGATATCAATGATCCTCTATTCCAACTTGGCCATGCAAAGAATGCCCGGATGGATCCAGCACAAATGGATTAGAACTACTACAAACTTAGAGAGCACTGCGCTATTCATCCTTGCAGAGAGCACTACGTGCTCGAGGTACTCTAGCAGCCATGTTGAAAAGAATAAATCAGACTAGAATTCAGCCCTGAAAGCCAAGGTAAAAGCTTGAGGACAAAAAAAAAAAAAGGAAAGGAAACTACGAAAACCAGAAAGCAAACACCAGATCATGGACTTCCCTCACCACAGCTCCATCGAAGATTTGATATCCGCCCTCTTGGCTGCCAATTATCCCTCAGTAAACCGAGAAAACACATCTGCAGTTGCAGTGGCATATTCTCTCTCAATGGTAGCCCGAATGACCTCGTTACGTAATATAGGTCGACAAGGATAATCTTTAGCACAGTACAGGAAGCCATTATGGTACCCATTCATCGGGTCACTGTCCATCGGGCCTTCTCCGGGCTGGAAGTCAAACGCCAACGGCAACGTGGCAACAGCCAGGAGCCTGTTGCGCTCGGCTAGGTGGATGCCAGGACATATCCGGCGTCCAACCCCGTAGCCATAGTGGTCGCGACGCTCCCATGTTCCCGACACGTAGTCGGGAGCCAATTCGGGGGTGTTTGGCAAAACGCTCGGGGATGAAAATGGCAAGGTCGTTTGGGTTGAGACGGATCCATGTACATTCTCCAGGTGTTGACCACGACTACTGTACCCTTGGGGAGGAATTTGCCATCGACCCAGTCGTCTGGTACAGAGGTTAGAAGACGATCATCGTGGGGGGAAAAGAACAGCAACGGAATCAAAATACGAAACCAAAGGCCCTACCTTTCTCCTAACGCATGTGGAAAACAGAGTGGAAGTATAGGCCTCCACCGATGACCTTCCTTGACCATCATGTTGATATATAGCAGTTTCTCAAAGTCTTCCGAAACAGGCGACCGGTCATGGCCGACCACAGCATCAATCTCAGCATACGCTTTTCGCTGGACATCTGGATTTTGAATTAACGCTTGTACGATAGCCGGTGTGAGACTGGAGCTAGTATCCGAGCCCTCTTCCATCAGGACCCTGCCGATGATTGCCAGCTGGGGCCAGGAGAGATGATGTTTCTCTTGACGATCCAGGACCTTATCTATAAAGGTGCCATCGTTATGGCCATCTTTGCGCAGCTGAATCGCCGTCTTCAAAAATGTCACCGTAGAGGGTCTCCATCTGCACGCCGATGGCCTTGGCCCGGTCGATGTAGTTTTTGAACAGCCGCTGTGGCAGCAGCTTCAACCAGGGGAACAGGTCGACTGGTGGGTGTTGCGCCAGTTTCCATCAGTTCCGATCATTCCTCCATGAGTTTGTAAAAGCCGTCGCATGTTGGATCCCTCTCGGTTAGCCGTGCGGATTGTATTTAGCGGTGTTTCAACAGTCTGTATATCGTAGTGATGACGGCCATATTGCCATTTCCGATCTTGAGCACGTATAACCCACCATACTGGGCGGCCCATTCCGTGAACATGAACTCCGCAACACATCAGTGGTAAGCAATTACCGTGTACTTCAATGGGAAGGGGAAATTTGATCGAACATACTTAATCTGGGTGTGTTTCTTGGTGATCTGATGGATGTTGCCGATGAATGGCAGAGGAGGTGGACCTACGTGAATTGAGCAAATCCATTCAGACAACTTCGGAGAGATAGCTTACCAACAGGCATAGTGCTGATCCGGTGGCCACATGTGAAGGCATATCGTACGAGCACGATGGCCGGCAATAAGACCAGGAGGTGCAACAAAAGTGGTTCCATAGTTGATAGGATTTACCGAGGACGAATCTATTCGGGGCATGGATCTATTTAGTATAGATGACAGTGGCATCATCTGACTTCTGGATCCAGAAAATGAGGCGTTGATGCCCAGGTGCTTGATGTGATTGATCACAGTCAACTCGGTTGCTCAAAGGAGTGTGCCCCGACTTACATTCCCCATAGAGAAACTCTCTCCTCTTTCTAATGAGCGAAAATTTTGTATTTGAGTCAACTGACGGTCAAAGTGAAAAGATGTTGTACCCCAAAATAGGGCTTCTTACGATCCCCAGACAGCTGCATTCTTCGAGGTGCAGGGGTAGGGCATGAGGTTGTTGGGACATGTTCCCAGTGAGGCCAACAAAGTCCCAATTCAACTTTCAAGGACGTCATGACCATAGATTGATTGGAACCTTGATGGGACTATGCGGTGCACGAGAGTCTTTCTACTATCATATCCATAGTGTGATGTGATAAATAAACAATCGTTAGATCACCGGCAACATGGTTTCACCAGCCTCACCTCCAACCCTCTTCCAAGAGCTTCTCGTGTACATCTAGAGTTGCCTCCACACGATTTCAGCGTCTCGTCTTATCCCAAATTCTCTTCAAACGCGGAAACAACTCCAATGCCGCGCCACTATCTACCTGTCGCCTGGTGTCCTCGGGTAGCTCATATCCCTCCAGAAAATCCGTGAAACGTTGAATTGCGCCATGCGGCGCATTGGGAAAGTCACTACCAAAGAGCACATGGCCAGGCGCAGCAAACTCAAACAGCGCCTTCAACGTGACCGGGTTTGACGAGATGGCCGTGTCGAAGTAGAATGTCCGAGCCGCCTCCACCAGCTCTTCAGTGGATAGGCCGAGCGTGCGTGGCATCAAGGGAAGCATGGTAGCTGCTCGATGGATGAGATACGGGAGGGTCCCGCCTGCGTGAGAGAGAATGATCTTGCATCCCGGATAATCTTGCAAAATGCCACTGGTCAGCAGATCCATGGCCGCTCGGCCAGTCTCATGAGGATAATCAAACATGGGTTGCGGTAACCATGTGTTGACGAGCTGTGTATCAACCGGATGGGTTGGGTGGATGAAGACCACGGCACCGCGACGGCTGAGATCAGCCCAGATAGGTCGAAAGGCTGCGTGTCCCAGGTAGTTGGGGCCTTTGCCGTAGCGGGTGAACAGCGTGACCCCATCTGCACGGAGAGTAGTAAAGGCGTAGTCAATTTCCGTCAGGACGGCCGCTGTATCGAACAGGGAGGGAACAGAGGCGAAGAAGCCATACTGTCGTGGCTGGGCATCCCGAATAGCAGCGGCAGAGTCATTACAGCTGCGTGCCAGGGCGGCAGCTTTGGTAACATCGGGCTCGATCCCTGGCCCCGGTGCAGTGACGGAAAGAATGGTCGTGGTCACCTTCATCCGTCGTGTCATATCCTGGTCTAGCTCCAGCGTCCATGGAGGAGTGTACCACCCCGAAGGATCACCTCCCGCACGGTCAAGGGCTACTCATGGTTAACCGATTTGCTTTAATTCCATCCCCGATGAGACTGACCTTGGCGCAAAGCCGGAGGGTAGAAATGGTGGTGCACATCGATTTTCGTGACCGTGGTCATTGTGTTAGCACTTCTATTTCCTTTCTGATATGCCAGCAACCAGTGATGGGCTTTTTCTGCTCAAGAACCGATCTTTGGCAGCCCGGTAATCTTCCCCTCTCCCTTGCATGCAGCGACCATTCCAGTTTTCTTGGACAAAATTAAAATTAGAGACCAGTGCGCGACCTCGGAGCGCGGATCAACGGTGTCGGGTGAGTCTTGCAGGGGTTGTTTAACTCCGAACAAACAGCAAGAAAGAAATGTAGAAATACAGCTCTACAATGTAATTGATTTGGACAGAGCATCTTTCCGGAATCTGTACGGAGATGTGCGCTTGGATAAAAGTGGAATCTATGTGAAGGTGCTTATTCCTTTCATCACATCAACCCCAGTCCTGATTCTTCCAAAAGGGGAAACACCCCTCCGAAACTCCTTTGGGTGATCCTCTTCCCCTGTAGCAACACTTTGTCCCTCCGCTACAGTGCTGAATCTCAATTAGACATTGGCGGTGCCACCTTCAGGATTCGAAAATAAACGCTTTGGTACTATTATCCGACCCGAAGGATGAAGCGGTATCCTCCATCCTACTGGAGTTCAAAAATCTGGTTGGCCGAATTAACCTGCGCACGAGCGGCCCAGGGGGAGATAATCGCCTTCCCGAGAGTGCGCGATGTAGCCGTGAATGATCCCCAGGCGGTCACGTTGCCTTCATCGCCAAAGAGATGATCGATGGAAAATGGGCCCCGATCCCAATACAGGCCTACTCGGGTGAAGATGTCGATAAAAGCCTGCGGACCCACATGGGAGTGCGTACCTGCCCAAGGCATGATCCCATGCAGAGTGGGATTGTCGAACGTGAGCGAAGTGTAGGTGCAGTCATAGGTGATAATCTCCTGAAGGAGATTGTAGTCGGGATCCGCCTGAGTGTTGAGCACTTTGGCGAACACCGAGATAGGCGTGCACTCCCAATCAGTAGGGCCATGTGGTGGGGGGCTCGAGGGAATAATTGCCGGGGTAGTCATTCCGAGCAGCAGCCCACAGCGAGGCTGATCCAACCGTGTTGGACACTGGCGATGGCCCCTTATCTCACTACGCCCAGGCCTTTGTGACATGGGCGAAACATGCCTTCTTGGAGATCGGTCTCCAGATACGCAGCGAGTTCCAGAGTGGAGCGCTATTGGGCCAGTACTATGGCCTGTACACGATCAATGCCACGACCATGCATCGTGAGTCGTCTAAGATGTCTTTTCTGCGCAAGGGCCTCGCCGATCCAAACCTCACAGTCTTTCAATCTGCCCTGGCGAAACGCATCCGCTTCCACGGCGCCTGGGCTGTTGGATTTGACGTAGAGACAATGGGCTATGCGTACACCCTTTCTGCACGCAAGGAGATTGTTCTCTCGGTAGGGGCCTTCCAATCACCCCGGTTTCTCATGGTCTCTGGTGTGGGCCCTGCAGTTACGCTGAAGGCACATGGTATTCCCTTCGTGGCGGACCGCCCAGGTGTGGGACAAAACATGCAGGATCATATCATCTCAACGAAGGAGAGATACTTCATAACGAATGCTTCGTTGCACTATTCCAAGGGGAACTCCTCAACCAGACAATCAATGCCATGCAGGTCCGCAAATAAGATGGTATCCTCGGAATCAGTGGCATGCCCGCTGGGACAACTCCAGATGGACTTCCCCTACCAACCTAAAATGGGATTATCTCTGTTGTTCTGGTCCTGTCAGTGTCTCCTCTGTTTGTGTCTGGGTTTTTAAGAGAGGGGAATACGACTTACCAAGAGACCAGTATGCACTTCGATACCACCAACAACTATGATCGTCAGTATCAAACCAAAGCCTCAGGGAACAAACTCTCTTCAAGCCACCCCTAGAAATGCTTACTGGAAAGAATCAACAACTTCCCCATAATACCGAGTCCTTGAATCAGCGGGTGAATGATCTCCGGCACAGGCACCGTAGATCAGAGAAGCACCGCCCAGCTTCTGCAAAGCAGCGACAGGGTTCTACCGACTGGTGTCAATGTAATCATGCGCCCCCAATTTCCGTGCAAATTCCTCCTTTGTGGAGTCGCGCGAGAGCGCCACTACGCGGTAGCCAAACTTGCTTGCATACACTGGAGTTCCAGATGACCGAGTCCGCCCAGGCCCTGGATAGCGACTAACTCACCCTGCGGGATCTTCATGTGGCGCATGTCGTTGAAGACAGTGACACCAGCACATAGCATGGGTGCGTATTTGGCGGCATTGACGTGATCGGGAATGTGCACGGCAGCCTCTCGCGGCGAATGGTACAATATTCGGCATCTACCGTGGTAGGAGGGGAGATATTAGCCTTGAGATTCTATTCCTTTGGGTGTATTGAGGAAAGGGTGATAAAGCGAAAAAAGAGATAAATGAATAAAAGGGAAAGATGTGCATCCGCCATTTCGGGAAATGCCGTTGACTTCCTCATTATCGCACATCTGGAAGAAGCCTTTTTTGCATGCCCCACAGGTGCTTCTCAATTGCATCAGTAGATGTTCTTGTAAAGGAGCCAGAGGCTTTTAAAGTTGAGGAACGCATATCAAACCATCGTGCCCACCATGCCATGCACCTCCAATCCGATCTCCTTCCTTCCAAAGGATCTCGCCCACTCCAACGGCTGCCACGCATCCGATGATCTCATGACCGGGAACGAGTGGACTATAAGAGCACCGGAAATTAGGCAAGGCTTCCTCTATCCCATGACAGGTGGCTCACAATCCTCCTCCTATGAGGTTCGTCTGCGCAAAGTGGTCCGAATGACACACGCCGCATGTTTCGACTTGGACCAAAGTCTCGTCACGTTTGGGTAAAGTCAGTGGAACCTTTTCTAGCGTCAGACTGGCGCCTTGTTCCTTGAAGACAGCCTGCTTGTAGATTCTAGGGGTAGTGGAGCCCATGCTGCGCATTTTGCTGGATGATGGATGGTAGTGCAAAGTAAGAGAGGCGATGAGATGAGGGGAGAGGATTCTATATTTGCATATTTCTTTCGCATGTCTCTATGCTAGTACAAGCTGTGATGCGGAGTCGGAGTTCCGGAGACTACTATAATGGTCCAATGGATATCCCGAGGTTAAAGTAAGAAGAATTGATGATAAACCCTCACAGCCAGATAAGTCTTTAACTGCCATATCAGAAATGTAGACACTTCTCTGCCATTATAGTATCTCCTGAGGTTTCTAACCCCCACTGGCTAGGTACATTAAGATTTATAAATTTAAGAGCGAAGGATACACTTTGAGACTTACCTTGCGCTCAAAAAGAACAAAAAGAAAGGAAACAGCCCAGTCACGAGCCCAAAGCCAGTATAACGTCTGCTATTGATGCCATTCCTTTATGGAAGGGCTCTAGAACCGACGACGAGGCAGCAAGCAAGACGCAACGACGTAGAGAGCACCAGCCGAAATTGCCATTACGTAGACATCACTGATCGAACTCACAATGACCTTCAGGGCTGCTGTTTTCAAGGCCGGGGGAAGTCGCTCCATCAGGGTACTCTGAGTGCCGGCGATGGCACCTTGGATGTCCGCCCGCGAATATCCCTTATCCCCTAACAGAGCAGTGAGGCCGCTGAAGGTCTTGGTTTGGAAAATGGCACTTGCTATGGCCAATCCCAACAGATGACTCTGACCCTGGCCGATGTTCATGAACTGGATGCACTCGGCCACTCGGTCGGGGGTTACAATGGTCATACCCAGTCCCATCAGAATGGAGTACCCATGGACGTTAGAGGGGCTGGTATCCAATCTCACGGTGTAAATCAACACGGCTCCAATGAGCATGAAGACGCCACTCATCAGATACCAGATGATGAAGAAGCCGGTCTTGGGCATGGCATAACCGCACAGCAGAATCGTAGCCACGTAGAAGCAGACGAACGGCAACAGACGGACCGCCGACATAACGCCGGAGTCGCCGTGGACAAACTGGAAGTGCAGTGGGATATAATAGACTGCCACGAAGAGGGCGGCACCGCCACAGGCCATGATGACATAGAGGAGGGTCATTGTGGGGTTCCGCAAGAACTCGCTTGGGAATAATCGGTCCTGTTTGGTGGTTCCCACGCAGAAGTACTGACTGAGCACAAAGGCAATGGTACAGACGGCAGAGACTACGTACAGCGCGATATTTCGGCCATCCTTCCAGGACCATTCGACACCACCAAAGACGATGAACAAGATTGTCGAGGTGTGCATTCCTGCGGAAATGACCGTGCCCACCCAGTCCAGCCGCAATAACTTCTTGAGGAAGCTGCGGCCTTCGCCTGCTGGGCGTGGCAATGAGGGCAGCAGGAATATATAGACAGGTGACATGACTCCAAAAATGACCAGATTGAGATAGAACGACTGTCAACTGCGGTTAGCATACTTGGCTAAAGGGAACGAGAAAGAGATCCCACGGACCCATCGCCATGTGGCCGAACTATCGGAGAAAGCACCGCCAATAATGGGACCCAAAATACAGCCGGTGCCGTAGATCAATCCAAATAGACCCACATACACGGGCTGCTTAGTCGGTATGGTCAGGATGGTACTCAGATTCAGGTTTCTAGATTTCTTGGTTAGTCCGCTCTCCCTGATTTCTGTCTGTCGCGATAAACATACCCCAGATACATACCCGCTCCCCTGGCTCCTGCCCACACACGCCCTACAATGATGGCATTCATGCTAGGGGCACCACCGCAGAGAGCACTACCGGCTGCAAACATTGTTAAACAGCCAGTGAAGAGCCATTTCGTATCGAACACGGCGTATGCTTTGCCCAACGGGAGAATAATAACCACTGATCCCAAGGTGAAGCCCACATCAAGCCAACCCAGTCTTGTGTACTCGTTAAAGTCACCGGCAATGGGAGCCTGGATGTCTGCCACAATGGTATTGTCAAGGCCATAGAGCAAGTTGGTAGAGAAAACGGCAACGCAGACGAGCAGCCAGCGGAATCCTACGATATCCCGGCCCGAGCCTGTCTCCTTTTCGGTTTCTCCCGCTTTGATCGGGATTGACTCGCCCACGCGATCCGGGGTTTGACTTTCGAGCATACTCTCACCTGGCGTCGAAGCGTCTATACTCATGGTGGGAAGCGAACCGAGCGCCACTTAGTCAGCTGTTTGAAGGCTCAGCTATCTAGGCGCCTGCCCAATGGAGTCGTGATGAAGTGAAAATAGAAGGCAGAGATGTAGCTGTCCGCTGGAGGACCTTCGCGAAAGTATCGATATCCATTTTACCCGACCGTACCTGGGTTATTTAAATGTTAGCAGTGCTGGAAGAGGACATTTTGGTGACATTTACCTTTGTCAGTCTGGATTCTGACCAATCGTAGGTTACTGTTTGACTGACTAGCTCCGAATCTCCTTTCGGACTCGGAGCGGGAGTACCCGAGCTCGCCTAAACCAAACCATGAAGTGGGTCCATCTGGGCCCAAATCCATGGATCTGGCCTGGAATTTTTTTTAATCTTTCTCTCGATTTCCAAGGTTTCAAGCTTTTCCAATCTTGGATCGTGATTAGCTAGAATACAGCCTTAGAAATCTAGATCAGCCCTACCCATAGATTGCCTCAGAAACGGAATTTTATATGGAACCCCTTTGAGCCCATCTCCCACTGTTGCTAATTTGGTACAGTTAGAGCGCTTTGAATAGGACGCGAACGACGATATGTGCTGCGCATATATACATGCTATAGAATCGAAAATCTCCAAATAGTGCAACTATGAAATCCAACAAACGTGGGAGCTCTTTGTACGAAGATATCCCGTAGTTCATTCCCAATGCAAATCATCGAATGGGCCGGTCTACTACTGGTCACATGGGGGACAGCTGTGGTAGCTGATTGGCCGATTGTGGACCTGGGTTATCAGCGGCACCAAGCCATTAGTTTTAACGTGAGTCTCGTACCTATGAGAAAAACAAACGGCTTCAAAATCCATCTGTCTGATGATCTGCTATATGATATCCCTAGTCAACCGGTCACTATTACCAATTTTTCAATTTCCGTTATGCCGAGCCCCCACTGAGCCCCTTGCGGTTCTCGCAACCCATCTCCCCACGCTACTGCAGCCGCGAGGTTGTCAATGGAAAGGGACTTGGTTATATCTGTCCCCAGCTTGAAGCCTGTTGGTTGAACGTGCAGGGCAAATTAACCAGCGCAGTGACCGCGGGGTCTACCTTTAATTTCACCGCTGCGTATGACCAGGTCGATCGACATGATGACTGCACCAAGCCGCGGCTCGTCGCAGGGCAGAATCCACTGGAGTCGGAGGACTGTCTGTTCCTCGATGTGTAAGTTCCAGAACAGGTGATAACCAAACAAGGAAATGAACAAGGAACATGAAATGGGAGTGTACCTGTGTTGGTGTACTTCCAAGATGGAGCTTATGTGTCCGGGTCCAAGTCAGATCAGAATCCCTCTGGCTTAATTGCAACCACCGGCGAGGATGGGTCCACCGGCATAATCTACGTGGGAGTCAATTATCGAGTGCGTGGTCTCCCCTCTTTTCCATCCTTATCTTTCAGCGGCTTATCTGCGAATGGTATCAACCAGTTGGGCGTATTTGGATGGTTGTCAGGCCAGAAGTTTTGGTCGGAAGAGGGTTTGCCCAACGCCGGGCTGTACGATGAGCGTCTGGCGCTGGAATGGGTGCAACGGCATATCTCCAAGTTCGGTGGTGATCCCTTACGCGTCACCGTCATGGGCGTTTCAGCCGGTGGAGGCTCGATCACGATGCAACTGACGGCCTATGGACGCGCCATTCGCCCCCCGTTCACCCAAATCATTGCACAGAGTCCGGCTTGGGAACCGGGCACGAAGTCACCGGCTATCGAGGACGACTTGTTGGATTCTTTCCTAACATTGTTGAATGTCAGTAGCTTGGACGAGGCACGGAGTCTGCCGTCTCAGTCTTTGCTAGCTGCGAATTATGAGCTGATGGCATCCCTGGGTCTGGCACACTTTGGCCAGTGAGTATGATTTGTGACTATTGGTTGCTCTTTTCCGTCGTTTGTTCCCTTCACTGCGACAGGCTGTTGATGGAAACTTTGTACCCAATAGTCCCAAGCGACTCCTGCTAGAGCGCCAGGTTGATCCCTCCGTTCGAATGCTCACCTCTTAAACTGCCAACGAAGGCTTTATATTAGCCCCGGCCAATGTCACCGACGATGCCACATTTGACCAGTACGTGGACTTACTGGTTCACAGTGCCAATGCCAGCGTACGCGCTCGCGTCTCCAAGGTGCTCTACCCACCCATCTTCCACGGAACCTGGCCGCATAGCAGTTAACACGAACGGGCGAATCTGCTCTGGACCGAGCTCTCTACCACCTGCAATGCCCGATGTTTACACCAAGCTGTCCCAGCTCCAGGGCATGCGATAGAGTACGCTGTGAGGCCGGTAATGCATCTATCAGATATTATCTCTGTTTTCTACAATAGTCAGGGTTCCGAATGGTCACTGAATGTCATTATTGCACGAGTCGTGTAGCGGCAGATCGTGCGGTTTGTTAAGACGGGGAATCAAAATGGTCAGGGAGACCCCCGAGTGCCTCTCTATCAAAGGCAAGCCCATGTGCTTTCTCTGGGGGATGACGGGATACGTATCAAACAGGCCTTGACTAATACAGACCGATGTGCATAATGGCAGCAGGTCGAGTTTTGATGAACTCAACGGGGGAACAGAACGATTCCCTCGATACATTATGCTGGGACGCGGTTCAGCTCGGATTACTGATGGTTTACAATGCTATCATATGTACTTTCTTGTCGAGACTAACAGTTACCGAAAGGAAAACTGCCAATGAGGAAATCTGAGTATTTTTGCCAAAGCAATTCACGTTGAAGGTCGCAGCAAAATCTGATTTCTGACTACGGAGCTAGGGCTGCTTTAAATTTAGCCTCGTATTTCCAACATTACTTACAACTTATCGAGCCCAATCCGACACAACTGGTGCAAAACGCGCAATATTTGGGTCGTCTTCTCCCCCTTAATCTCATCCAGCGCAATAACTCGCAGCTTACTGATGCCGTCCAGAAGCTTACAGCGGATGGAGTCACGTTCGTGGGCATTTGTCTTAATGTCTCGTCATCAGTCACCGGCAATATCTGGGCTTCATTTTTTTTTGCCTATTTAGCGCACAGCAGCAATGAGTGTGATTCTAGCCACGTAGGCCCTCTTTTCCGTCATACAGGGCAACTTTAGTGTTTCGATATGCTTGCCGACACATGTCCGCTCCAGAAACTGGCCCGCAGGTGCCAATCTTACCGAGATGAGAACCCTGGCAGACCGAATAACGACAAAATGGGTGCCGATTCTGACAGCGTTGAGTCCAGATTTGGGATGCTATGTGAGCGAGGCAAGAAGATAGATCCATAATACGGAGGCCACTAGCTAACCCTTCAGACAGGCGGATCCCCAACAGCCAGACTGGAAGCAGACATTTTATGGTCGCAACTATAATTCGCTGTATACGGTCAAGAAAAATAATGATCCGCTCCAGACATTTCATCCTCCAACGGCTGTTGGTAGTGAAGACTGGCAAGTTGAGGCGGGTGGTCGGCTGTGCCCAGTCACCGGAATGGATTGACCCGACAAGATAGGATACGCTAAGCCCCATGGGAGACATGACAACTTTTTTGGAATTTCATTTTGGCTTAGGGACAAATGGGCCGAGATTCGTTTAGCGCATAGCGTGAGTGAGTGGGAAATTATACCATGTTAGCGTTACAGTTCTAGCAACATTGTCCTATCGAGCTATGCGAGTCACAACAGTAACCTGTAACGAAGCTGGGACTGATATCGCCTAGAAAATTGTTCCCTCTAACCGAAAGACTATCTAGCAATCTAAATCACTGTAGAATTGCAATATTTGGGTTATCTCTTTGCAAGCCGAACTTGTGAGCTCACCTCAACATTCATCTATGAGACTTATCCTTTAGGCCGTCCTAAATTTCCCCCAAAGTTGCTATTTTCTCTAGGCAGGAAGCAATAAAATAGGTGTATTATCCAACATATCCACAATTGTCGTCGTGAATTTCTTGATATGTTCCCAAGATTTAGAGTAAGATTGTAGAGCTGATATTCCATCGACGCTTAACAGAGAAGCTTCAGATTTTGAAGGACAGAGATCGTGGTAAATTCAATTGAACAATGCTGAAACCTATTTAAAAAGATCTAATCCGATAGTATAAAGGGCTCTTCCAGGGCGTAGACGTGCATATATACATTAAATCACATATCGATCCAGTGTGCGTCTTTTCTAATTCTCTCCACCTAGCAGGGCCCGCTGCGTGGTTGAATACTGTAGATTAGAGTTAGAAAGGGCGGTACTCTAAGTCGGACAAACGATCAAATCAGCAAGTTAAAAAAGCCAACAGCGAAGGTAAAAAAGAAAAAGAGGCCAGTCATGAGTTGGTGGTCCAGGAATCCATGATCATCGCGCTGGCAGGCAGCCACTGGACTTCAGCGCCGATGACCATGTCCGCAGACATGACGGAGGGCATCGGCATAGTCTCTGTCGTCCCCAAAGAAGGCGATAGCTCCGGTAGTGGCCCAATAGGCATCATGTCCATTAATTGCATGCGCGTTTCAAAGTTGGGCATTGGTTGATGCTGTGACACCTCCCGGATAGTCGGTGGTAGTGCCCGCTTGAGTGAGTTGGATCGGATCCCCAGTTGCTCGGGGGTGACAAACGAGGTTGGATGCGTCAGCTGGCTGGGATTATGGACTCTGGTGGACAAAGCCTGGTGGGCACGCGGCGCTTGTCGCCGGGTCAGACCCTGTTGGACGTTGTTGACGAGTCGATCGGCCTGGCAACTGACTTCGCGAACGACGTGCGCCGCATTTTTGGCGGCCACAAAGTGATCACTCACGAGGTCCAGCGTGCGAATTGCCGTCTGCAGAGACTTGCGGGCTGAAGGGGTTGGCGGACAGACTGAATTGGCGAGCACAAATCCCAAGGTACATAGGATGGCATCCCATTGGTACTGGAATATAGGCGACCAGCCACGCAGGAGATCAGTTTCGGACAGCACTTGGTTTAGTATACTGGTGATTGCCATCGCGTGGTTCAGACAGGAGATATTGTACCCATCGGTCAGTGGGGTCACAGAGGAGCTCACGGGAGGGAATCGGATGAATGGACGCAACGTTGAGACCACAAGATGGTGATAGTGAAGCTCTAGGAGAAGGCGTTGACGCTGCAGCCAGAGCGGGATATATGCGGACAGATTCAGCGCATCCCGAATGGTAGAGAATGGGTCACCCCCTCCCTTGCGAGGATTACACAGTGACTGCGGCACATTTTGAACCCAGCAATGAATGGACGTCATCTCTTCTCCGAGAAATTCGGCCAAAGTCTCGAGGAGGCGCGGGTCCTCATATAGGTCCTGAACTTTGTCCCCGTTCAGCAATTGGGAACATTTCCGGTGCATTGCTGTCTGCACACCCTGAACGAGATATATGAGCTTTGTGCACTGGACATGGAAGCTGAGCCAGCTGATGTCCTCATGGTTCGTGAGGAGGACTGTACCAGATAGCCGGGCATGCTCGCGATCATCTCCGGGTAGCCCGCAGCTGACATGAGACAGTTGAATGAGTGGCGGTCGACCCAAGGTCATGGAGAGCTGGCTGTCGATCCGATAGAGCGCCCACCAGATTCGGCGTTGTAGCTCCTGCTGCTTGGGGGCGGTCCCGTCCAGCGGGCGAATATGCAGCCGCAGTGCGTGGGCGATTCGCAGTGTGACACCCAGGTTAATATGCGCCGTATTCAGCAGGGACGTGTTATACAAGTATACAATCGAATAGATGTGACTTTGCACAACCATGATGGTGGGACTTTCAAGCTCACTCTGCAGTAGCCTCTGGGCCCTCTGGTAGTAGGTTCGACTGGCTAGATTCGCGTTTTTAGCCTGCCATCCAGAATCTGAATCCCCTAGCTGACTGTCATCACTGACGAAGAACGTGCTGCTGTACTGCATACAGACTGCCAACAACACATCGACCAGGGCGGATGGCTTCCGGGCAGACATTCCGTCCGGGGAACTTGACCATAGTGACTCATAATATTGCTGAAACTCGCGTTCGTCGAGAACAGGATACACACAATGAAAGGACTGCCATAGCAGATTGAGAAAGTGTTCCTCTTGTGACCGGGTCAGGTCCTCGGCCTCCTCGGCTCCGTCCTGGGGCGGATCCGCCTGGCTGGCCGGGCTTGCATCCCATCGAGACGGTTGATGAGACGGGGCAATATGATGAAAGCGTGCCATGCAGGCCTCCAATTTCGCATCTTCGATTGGCTCGTTGAGTACTTGAGAGAGATGGCGACTGATTCGGGAAACAAAATACGAAGACGATAAGGGCCCGTAGTGAATATGCCCCATCTGCTGGAGACCTTGCCATCCTTCTGTAGTATTGGTGAGCTCCGCAAAGTCGAACGAGGTGTGGGCAGCCTCCGACAGAGGGGGCGTCGCGAACCCTGTCCGTGGTTGGATTTCCGCGGCTTCTTTAAGTTTCACAATCTGATCCCGAAGATCCTCGACTTTACTTCGTAACCGTTGCATCTCTCTATCGATGTGTATCAGCAGGCCGTTTACGCCCATCCCGATGCAATGAGAGAGATGAAGATTGGCTTCCTACCGGTTTGCAGCCGGCAGCGAGGTAGCCTCCTGTGGCTTTGTGTTGCTGCAAAATCCCCCTCGATTCAGGCAATTTTGACATGGCTGTTTGTCATCGCATCTGACACGATTGAGTCGACACCAGTCACAGGCTCGCGCGACCTGATTGCGCTTTGGTCGTGGAGCTGTCACAGGCGTGGCCGCTCTGTCACGGGAGGCATCGATCGTGGTATCGAAGTTGACGGAGAAAGTGGAGTACATTACGGAGGAGGGCAAAACAAATCAGATATTCATTCAGACCAGATTCATTCAACTCCAAATGGCGGTCGAAGCCTTAAAAGTGACTTCCCTCTGGACTACTTGAGAATTGATGAAGACTTGACGAGGATTTGGGGATTTGGTGGGGGGGCGATAGATGGCGCAAAGAAGTGCAGGAGTTGACGTTCGACGCCTGAGGTTTCAATGGGCAAACTGACAAAAGCACAAGCAAATGCGCAGATGACGGGCTTTCCTGTACATAATGAGACTTGCATGAATCACCCAAGAAGGGAATCGGACGGGAGAGAGAGAAATGCCCCCCTACCCAGGTACCGACCATAATTCCACTAACGTGTCATCTAGTCAGCCAATGTCAGCTTTCTATCGTGGATCCTTGGCTGAATCCACCACTTCTCTTTGTTGGAATAATAAGCGAGTATGATCGAGTCATTGGTCGAAAATCAGACAGATAAGATATTTGAACTTGGACCTTTATAATCAACAAGGTCGGAGTGAACAGGGAATCCCATCCTGCGACAATCGTTTTGCTCAGATGATCCAAGTGCAAATGAGAACTCGTAGCCGTATATTTGTAGGATATAATTAGATCGACATCTACATTGCCATGGAGATAAAGAATACCCTAGTACTATAACAAAGTATGATCCTAGCAAGGTCAGATCGAGGCAATCATAACCAGGACTGTTGATGCTTTGAAGACTAAACAGAAAAGACATGAATGATGGAAGAAAGATCTCTAAACTCGGCCTGAGTCCTGGAATGCTATCGATCAGCGCTAGAAGGATTCTTCACATTCACAATGATTCATCCCCACATCCGGTCTAGACCCTGTGAACTCCAAATAAGGCCCCAAAGCATACTAATGTGATCATAAGATCTCAAAGGTTGAGATCCAATCTTTGAAGGACCTTGAATTAAATCGGAGCGAGGTCCGCCGTTCCGCTGCTCCTCTCGGCGACATGCATCAGCTGCGGAAACGGAGTTGCCAAAATGCGATTCTAGAATCTGATTTGCATCGATGTATATTGGATTCTGTTTGGGTAAACGGTCCACGTTGCCTATGTCAGGTCCGATGTAGTAGTCTTATAGCAAATCTCGCATGTACTATAATCAACAATCAAACGTGCAACCAAAAGAAACAGTGACTTTCCAGAATAGAAGGATGTCTTGCTGCGTCCTAGGAGCTACGAAAGAAAGTCATATACCGTTGGAGGCAAAGTAGCCAAACGGTTGAAGCGTGAGATGTCAGAAATTAGGATAGCACACCAATCGGGGATGTCAATAAAATCGAATGTACCCATATGAAGAACACAACGCATTGACTAAATGGATGCAGATGATCTGCCTTCAAAAAAAAAGAGGGGGTTGCTGCCAGGTTAGCCATACAGAGTAGCGTAGATGTTGTCAACGGACCTTCGCAAAAAAATTTTCCGAATAGAGAGAGGGAACGGGGGGAGTAACGATCATCTATCAGTATATATCCTCTAATCTAGCTAATCAAACCGAGCGAATACCTCTTGCGCTTCGGTAAACTCCCGCATAATGGTGTCCCGCTTCTCCGGGGAGCGAAGACGAATAGCACAGCCATAGGTCCTTGGGGCAATGGAGAAACCCTTGACTAGCGCCGGAGTGAGCTGAACATATCACTATCGCTACCGGGGAGGGGGAAGGGGGGTTCGAAGAACTGAAAGGCCCAGAGCAGCTTGGCAACGCCGGTGATCAAGTTGCGTTCCGCCAAGTGAATGCCCGAACAGATGCGCCGGCCCGCCCCGTAACCAAAGTGGTCCGAAGGGGCAGAGCAGCCAAAGGTCAAATGCCTGAATTATAGACCGCTTTCGGCACCGCTCTATACCGTGTATTATAAATTGAAGCTATTCCTGTATACTGCTATTCCCACCCTATAATTCATCGGTTTCTTCGAATCCCCCGCGGTCAAAACCGACACCGCATAACCCATCGAATTAAAGCTCTTCCCACCTTGTTGGAAAAAAAGAGGAATTCTACGATCAACCTGGCAAGAGGACCTTTAATTCGATAGGTTATAATGGTCGCAATAGCTTGAACACCTAAAAATAAGCTATAGTGGGAATAGCTTCAACATTCTAATCGTCCAAAGATACTTTGCTTTATTAAGCCTCCTGTCATCGTAATTCAGGTATTTTGATTTCTGCCAGTCTTAACAACAGAACGTAATTCAGGCCGATTCAGGCGAAACCCCTGAAAAAATCAGACATTCGACCTTTGGCCGCTCTGCCCCTTCGCAGGTCACGGCGCTCGGATCCGGTGTAGCCCGAGTCTAGGGCTGGGAAATCGGCGAAGCGTTCAGGGTGGAAATGCTCTGGCTCCTGCCATCGATCACTGTCCACTGTCATGATGCATTGCCCCCAGACATTAAGAACGATGCTCGATCCTTCTGGAATGAGCTTGCCTTCGATGTGGTCCTCTGAGAATCGTTAGCCAAGATGTTCTAGTTTGACTTTCTGGGTTTCCTGTTTTCTTTCGCATTCTCAGTGAGAACTGCTTGGCGCAGGCAAAAAGATCAGATTCAACCGACCTTCAGCGACGGCATATGGAACGCCCAGCGGGCTGACCGGACGCCACCGGTGAGATTCTTTAATCATCATGTTGATACAAGGCAGCTTGGGTCAGTCAGACCAAGCTGGGGAGCGGTCACGGCCGACAATGGAGTCGATGTGTGCATATGCCCTGCAATACCATCATTAGTTCTCTAGTTTCGGCAGATTAGGATGGAAGAGCCAGTGGGCATACTGGGCCTGGACCTCTGGATATTTAGGTCATGGCCTGGATGATGGTTTATTTAAGCGAGGACGAAGTATTCGAGCCTCCCTCCATTAAGACTCCCCCTAGGAACCGTAGCTCATTCTCAGAGAGCAGGGTCTAGTGTGTCCAAACCCCGATCCATGGAAGAGTCACGCTGAACGCCCCACTGTCGGCGCTCCTTGACCTGATCATATACGGCTTGGTAAAGTGACTGCATTAGATCACCCACTTCGACCGCCCAATATCGCCAGTTCCCTAACATCCACTGGAGCACATTACGCAGCAGAGCAAATGAGTCGACAGGCGGAGTAGCGCCAAGCTCTTGCACCAAGGATCATTTGTCCATCAGGTAGAAGAGCTTTTTCCGGTACTCATCGTGGACGGTTCTGGTGCGAATGCCAAAGACAAGTGAGTTGGTGATACTGTTACTGTACCATTTGGGATGCAGCATGTGATCCTCCGGCATAGTCCGATAGTCATGTAGCATCTGCTTGGCCTCCGCCTCATGGACCTTCCAGTGCTCACGCTCACAGCGGGGCTCCATGAAGTATTAATGAATGATTTTTACGTAGCATCCGCCATCGCTCGCCATACTGCATGACCAGGAGATGGTCGCTCTGCGTGATCAAGTGGGATACCAGTGACGCCGGTCGATGTAAATTAAGGTTGCTCTTCTTGTCCAACAGGGTCTTGATCAGTTTTTGGTCGCTGATGACAATAGTGGTGTTGTTGTATCTTTTCAGCGTGAAACCCCCGCCATGTTCCTTAGCCCACCGGGCAAACCTACGCGAGTCACTTAACCTATTATCCGGGTACATTACAGGGAAGTTAGTCTTTACTGAAATTGTGCATCGGATTTTGGCACCTGCAGTTCGTTTCCAATCAGTGGAACGGTTGGAGGACCTGCGCACTTGTTAAATGTAAAATTCCGCCTCGTCATGGTCATCACATACCGTTCGGGAGCTCTGAGGATCGATGTCCGGCATGGAAGAGAGATGTGATGAGAAGCAAGGTGCTGGTGCTGCTAAGCAGTATTGTTAGAAGCTGCGTTGGTGCAAGCAGCAGGAGATCCATAGTGTTGACAGATGGCCGGAAGGTGCTCCCCAAAATGTGCTCTTTGATGATACTTATGGTCCTCACCAACGTGGGGAAATGGTATGATACCTATGAAGACTGCCGCTTCCCCTGGCAATGAAGTAGGGTTCCTAAAGGATCCTCGGGGGTATGCTCCTGCTCTTATGACGACCGAATGCATTGTCATGTTTACATCCCATCCTAGATATCATCGATGGATTCTCTATTCAAAACGTAAATGAAATCTTGCCTAAATAAACAGACGAGCAGTAGGCATAGACTGTAGCCTTCAGGGATACACAGAGGGTTCAGATGCCATGTGAGTGCCTGATTTACGAGGAGCAACTCTTGGTTTGGTCCAGGAAGAAAGAGGAATGCTTTTGGATAATGGCAGGCTACATAAATCACCGTGCTGTTTCTCTCTGAATAGACCGCTGCTTAGACAATCAGTCAAAATCTCATCGCGTACTCGTCATCAGGAATCAAAAAGTGAAAATCAGAACTATACTCAAATCATCTGTGGTTCATGAACTAACAGGGATTGGGAAATCAATGTATCTCTGCGTCCCCGCACCGTCGATCAATACCCGTCGCTGCATCCGAGAAACTAACTGTTCCAACGTGCTCTCGATCCCTGGAAAGTGATCGTTGGACCCATTGGCCGACCCAGGCTGCACACCATGAAACAGGCCCGGCTCATACGTTACTGGGCCCAGTCTCAATGGGATGGGGGACATATCCTCCATCCACGGCTCAAACTCCACATTTTCAGGCTTACGCGTGGGTTCCATCTCTGCCTGCTTCTTCCAGGATGTTTCCATTTCAAACCAGATGCCGCTAGAAGAAGGAACCCTTCATCTTCGCGACGGCAAAGTCTCAGTCCGGGGTGTATCCTCGGAAGCAGGGTATATATCCCAAACGTCTTCCAATCCACCGGCCAACGATCACATAGGTCTAGTATCCGACCTGCCGGCGAAAGGGGACCCACGCGGGAGCGGGTGTGTAAGCATCCCCTCCGTCTTGAATCTGCTACCATGTCAGCCGAAGGCAAGGGACATTGTGCGCTCAGGATCGATGATCACCGCGAGGAACTGAATCCAGTCAATCCCTCCATTGTGCAACAATGCATCGTGCCAGTAGCCGTACCCATTTTCGAAGAAGATCCGATCGAGCTGACGGTCGTTTCCGGAGTCTGATGCACTCGGGTAAACAGTCATGCTCTCGGGGGGATCTGGATCAATGAAGAAGTTATGCACACTTCCCGCCTTGACTGAGATCTCGCCATCTTCTGGGGTGATGCGGCGGATGGCCCCGTCCACTGAGATGGCGAGTACCCCATTCTCGACGCGGAAGTACTCGGTTTGGAACTGGTGAAAATGCGGTGGCGGGCCCTTTGGTCGATCAGGACTATTGATGAGCTAGCGCAGGTTCTCCGGGATCGAGCCTTCAATAGCATGGCGACATGTCCGACGCAAGAGAAAACAACGACCTGGTGGAGGTTCGAGGAATTCGGTGGTGAGAAGGCCGCCAAATCTGGATGATGGTTCTACGTTGACTACCAAAATCTCGTTCCCTAAAAATTCATGACAGGAAATGGAGTGAAACGCACACTTGAAAATACTCGACTAGCCGGCCGAGGAGTGGTAGGGCACAAATGGAACCATTGTGATGCTGCTTGCGAAGGTTGGCTAGCCAGCGAATATTCTTTTAGAGAACAGAAAAAAACCCCCCTCTACCTCTGTCAGCACCTACATAGTTCACTATTCAGTTCGACAGCCCTTCTTGTATGCAGGGTCTCCCATCTTTCCTGTTGAAGCATATCAAAATGGGCCTAATCGAAACTTGGAAGTCTCTGGAGCGATGCATCTTCTCCTCATCCGGACTGAAGCGCAAATCTACACGGAGTTCCCCTGAGGTCCTAAAAGGTGATCGATGGCTCATCCAGTGCCCTTTGAAGAAAGGATCTCTGGCACTCCTTTCCGTTAATCAGCATGCATCGCATCCCATTCAGGCTTGGGGCTGACGAAGGCTTGCCCTCAATGTTTCGAATCCCCGACAAGACACTCAGGATCGCCATTACCACTGCTTACGAACTGCTAGAAAATGCTTCCTATCAACAGATCCCGTTTTCCATCAGCGAGACTAGTTCTTGTGAAGGCTTGGCCGCATGATGGCGTGCAGTCCGAAAACGAATGGATGAATATATTGATGTCCTAATTCGGAAACTGGGCTGCAGGCGACTATCCCACGATTTTGATGCTGATTTTCTTTGCGAATGTTCTGGATCAGTGTCAGTGATGCGGTGCCTTTGGCAGGACCGGAGCTCAAGGCGTATCTGAACACGAAGATTCGGGGTTATGTGTGGTCCCTAACGGATGTTAGGACCTAAGATATATGCCGCTGCAAAGACCAACAGACGTTCTGTTTATTCCTTGTGATCTTTTGGCCTAGCGGTTAAATAGTCTTAGGTCATTCATCAGGAGTAACTAGCGGCCTGATTTGTCTTCAGGATTACACCGCACCGAGTGGCCAAAAGCCACCATCAGTCGTAAGCTATGAGAACGTCCAAGGTAACTATCCACTTATAACTCAAAATAAGACACAATCCATTCCTATCTCACGGCCAAACGATCTGTTTCTGAAGCAAGATATCGAACCTTGTCAAAAAGAGGCCTCGTGGGCTCCACTACGAGAACAAAGGAAAGAGACTAACACCGTTTCCGTGAGGTCTGCCCGTATTAGCACGTAGATTCTTCCGTCTACTTCGCACCAGCAAAAAAAATACCTCCACTTCTTCATCCAGCTCCCCGAGTCATCGAGTCCCTGTATCACCAGGACTGCCAGGTCTACTTGCTGCATCACTCCGGCAGGTCGAACACGAATAGGTTCGGGTCATGGCGCCATGCCTCTTCGTCTTCGTCGGCAGCGTCCGTTGTTCTCCATGTGCGTTGATGTGAGGGTGACCTCGGCGGACCTGGCGCCCGGCCACTGTGATGTGTTCCCTGTTTCTCCAACATTCGCAGTGTCTTGGGTTGGTGTGGTTGTACCCTTGCTCGGAGAGGTGCGAGGAACTAACCCAGAATATGGAAGGCCGGTAAATGGAACGTTAAACTTATAAATGGGGTTATTTTATCTGGAGTACATCCCATATAGTTGTAAGGATTTAGAAGAGGGAAGATGCAAGATAAAGAGGACATTGGTTCAAAATATATTCTAGAAAATCTTTGAGAGTAAAAAAAAAGGAAGAAGTTGTTTGACTGGAGCGACAGGTGACAATGGGGGACTCTTCAAAATTAGGTGTATCGAGATATCGAGATGAAACTCCCATATACTTGCAAAAGACTCCAGAGCTATATACATCGTCCATGAGGTGTGGTTAAGAAGAATTCGGAATCCACCAAGAACCCCCCAAGTCCCTACGGGGATCAACTGGAGGGTTGTAAGAATTATCTTCAAAATCAACTCCGACATACGTTTCTTTACTGATTTCTATCCATTTCTATCCTACTTACCATCTACTAAATCACCTCCAGAATGGCCTCGGGTCTAATCCTCAACCCCCACCTCCTCCACCAGCTTCCTTCTCCCCTCCCTGCAACCCACCTCCGACAAAATCCTACCAAGATGGTATTCCCACGTCTTCAATCGCGTAGTATGAACAGTCTTCGCACTGAACCTCGGCACGATCACCTCAGCTGCCGGAATTCTCTTCTTAAATCACTATTATCCGCGGAAGCCCCTGCAGACAACGGCATTTTACTGGATCGGACTAGCTGGTGCGGTCGGACGTTTGATTTTCGTGCCGTTGGTCGCCGACCCGGTCAAGAGAATTGTGGATAATGTTTCTGCAAAAGAGGATTTGGGGGAGAGTGGGGTTAGGATGATCGTTGCGGATTTGCCGGCTTGGATTGCTTTTGGGGGGAGCGATGTTGACGTTGTGAGGTTGGTATGGGCATAGATGGCTGCTGTGGTGTATCTAGGGTGATGTGTTGAAATATGTACTATAGCTGTTGGTGTCACTGGAACGCTTTTCCCGCTCTCTAGAAAATACAGACGCTGGTGCACATGAGACAATATAAACAACGTCGATCGGTCGATCGAACAAATACCGGCGGATTCTACAAACTGAAGATCCCACTCCTCTTCTTCCCGTGCGGGTAAACAATCAAAGCAGAGATAAACAGCCCAACGGAAATACCAATGGCTGTCTGGATCATCCCATATCCCAGCGAAGTAAGCGAGCTATTAGATGTCGCACTGGTCGTACTACTGGAGACATGACCAGATGCAACCGCCTCGGCATACTCCAGTCCTGAAATGATCGATCCACTAGACGCAAGACCCGACGGGACCAGGGTAAAGATACCCGGAATAATAGCAGCAGCCGCATGCCCATGCCACAATCGACTATACAGATTAGCCAGAAGGCCAATGGTGAACGCGCCCACAGTGTTAGCGACCTGATTCGAGCCGAGCTTTTTCGTGCTAAAGTAATTCGTGACGTAGCCACAGACCCCCATGAAGATCGTAACCGGCAGTTGTTTCGGCTTGGACTGATTGATCAGCGCAGCGAAGAGACAAAACAGCGCGACAAAGGGGAAGTGCTGGATGTATTCGTTCCCCCAGACCTCCGGCAGATTCGAACAAGTCGACTCCTTCGTAGCGTTATGGTCCATCAGCCCGTAGATCGTCGTACCGACGGTAACGCCGTACCCGAGGAAGAGTGAGTAGATAATGGTAAAGACGAGGCGGATCGAGCCCGCGTTCATCTGATGCGACTGCAACTCGAGACTACTGCTCAGCACGGCGAAGCCCGGTAGGATCATGGCGATGGAGGACTGCGCCATGGCCGAGAAGCAGAAGACGTGGTCGCCGTTGTGCCGAATGCTGCCGAACGCGCGCGCGAGGAAGGAGGTGAGGACCGCGGCAGTGACTTCTAGCACGTTGGAGTAGGTTGCCGAATTTGGTGCGACCACGTACTGCATGAAACCTACTAGACAACCTAGGACGAAGATGATAGGGAGGTCGACGGGGCGGGCGCTGAAGGCGTATGGACCGACGGTGACGCTGGCACAGCCAGTTAAAAAGATGAGGAGCCAGCGGTTGTAGCGCGGTTTGCGCAGCATGATATCGTCGAGGTCGTGGGTTGCTTGTTCGACGCCGACCAAGTCATGGACGACGTTTTTGTAGATGTTGTGTGTCTCTGCGAGACGGGAAAGGTCAAGACCCTGCACGACGCGGATGATCTTGACCTCGGCAGTGCGGGTTAGCGGGTCGTCAAAGGACATGATCATACAGCCCGGGATGTACATGAACTGGGCTTTGATGTCCAGTACGTTGGAGGTCATCATCATGTACTCCTCGAGGCGGTGGGTTGGAGCACCGTACTTCATGAGAGCGCGGCACAGCTGCATAATGTACTGTTGGCGGGCAAGGATAGCGGCAATGTGGACGGTGAGCTTGATGTTCTTTTTGCTCTTGCGCTTTTGCTTCTTTCGTTCTTTATGATTCACAGGTGGAGGACCCGTGGCGCCGGGCACCCCAACCCGACCCAAATCCATGGATGCATTGATGAGGGAGGAAGTATAGCTGTGGGTTGGTTTTTTTTGGCTGCCGTTGTACCATTTCAATTTGTCTTTCTTTCCACCTGGGGTTACTGTGCCGGATGCTGGGATGCTTTCGATTTCCGGGTCGGTTTCCGAAGTCGTAGAGACAACACTCATCCGACTGGCATTATGAAGATTATTGGCGTAGACACGAAGCAATTGTGACAGGAGTCCTCCAGGTGGTCCACCAGGTGTTGCCATCCCATCTGGAGTTCCTGGGGTTGTCGAACCGGAACGGGGTTCTTCCATGCGTGGAGGCCGTGCCTCGAACTGTGACCCCATTCGTTCCACCAAGAGCCGAGCTTGTGAATCATAGTCTGCTCTGGGGAGCCGAGCTTCCTCGTCGGTTGCCTTGCGTGCCTCGAATCCTTGGATATCGTCGGTTGCTCCATAGTACTCTGGTAACATGGGTGAATCCAAGCCATCAGCCTCTCTTTCGTGGGGTCGACCGAGCTTCTCTGCTATTGTGGCAGCCCGATTGCGAACCCGCTGGCTTGCTGTTCGCCATCTTTGGGAAGTCGAGATACTAGGCTTCAGGCTGGTCTCATCCGGGTGAAGAACTTCTGTGTTATCGGCATTGTGATCCTTGTCTTCAACTCGATCCGTCTCGGCTATCTCCGCAGACGGCGGAGGGATCGGCGCGAACTTTTCCTGCGCATCCGACATGGCGCGGCAAACTTCAATCCTCCCGGAAGTGGGCGGAAGTGTAATGGCTTTTGTCCTTTCTAGATGGGAAATGTCAGAGTAATAGGTCCTCTTTCTAGCAGACCTCCACCGCAAAGAGGGTAATGCAGCAACAATCTAGTAACAGAGAGCCCCACCAACGGCCAGACATGACATTAAAAGAGAAGAAAGAGCCAAAGGGAACTGGGGGGAAGTGGGTTCTATTTGTCTAAAGTGAGGAGAACCTGCTCCAATTCCAAAGCCTTCACGTAATGCAATTTATGCAATGAAGTCTTATGGCATTAACACGGCAGGTCAAGGATTTATTTCCTGGGCCTGGTCCAATCAGGAAGAACCTATACCCCTGATAGGAGATAAAAATTAATATCAGAAACTTCCAACTACGCAAGAGATATCTGACATTTGATGGGAAAAAAAAAAAAAACCAAGCTTCTCAGCCACTCGCCCGCACTCGAATTGGTTCTTACTGTATTGTTCATCATGTACACATTAGCACAGCTGTGTTCACTTGAATCATTTCTTCTTTCTTCAATTCCCCGATCGTGTCTACCAAGCAGAATTTTCCCTGGTCTGGACTGCGCCTCTCCAGGGCTATACCGGGCATGTGGACCGGGGTCCCACCTGGAGAATCCGGATATTATTCGAATTAGGTCTAGAGATTCGATCTATCTCAAACTCATCTCAAACCAATCTAAATCTAAGATTCTATTCCGTAGTCGAGAACATGATAGATTAAAGAAGAGGTCTATGTAGCAGATAGCAGAGAGGCTATCTTCAAGATCAGATTGACCCCTATTCTTCCTATAATATCTCACTAATCCCGTTTGGCCGCGTAACTTGATGAGTCAGCGGCAATGACATTGGATCTCATCTAGCTGAGAATATTCTTGCCCTTCTATCATTTATTAATCATGGCTGGAATTTCTCGTACGGCTCTATGAAAGTGGATTCAATCGAGTTGGTCCTCTAAGTGACTTCCAAGGGTGTAGGAGATCTGCCTTGACCACGCCTGCCATCGATGTTCCCAACAGCCTCTACCGAACCAGGCTTGACATGAGATGGCAACTGATTACCCAGTCTCCTATTCAAGCTGGAACGACAGTGGACTCCCGTCTATCGTTCTGATCCACGGTGCGTTTGTATCTGGCAATTGGTGGAACCTCGTGGTCCCCTATCTCTCAACCAGATATCACGTTTTGGCCCCCGACCTACCAGGCCACGGCCAATCGACCCAAGAAGAATTCTCAGTTCAGTCTGCCGCGGATTTCCTAGCCCAACTTATTCGCGACAAAGCGAGTGACTCACACGCACACGTTGTAGGACACAGTCTCGGTGCCCGAATAGCCATTCAGCTCGCATGTGCCTATCCCGACTTGGTGCAATCAGTCTTTGTATCAGGATTCATGTCAATCCCTCGTACCGGCTTCACACCTTACATTCCCCGTGCGGTATGGATGATGCAGCGTATCGAAAATTTGATACCGAGGTCGGTGATTCGATGGGCTATGAACGGTACCGATCTTCCTCGCTACACAAGCGCAAGCACGCTTCAGCTTTGCCAACAGATCATGACCCCTTCAACGGAATTGCAATGGCCGTCGCCTTGGACTGCTAGAACTTTGATTGTGGTTGCTGCCAAGGGAGGACTAGTGCCCAGTGGTGATAGCAAGGAGGTTGGTGTGAGGTTGATGAAGACTGGCCGCGAGGGAAATCCTATGACGATCGCTTACGTCCATTCGGAAATGCGACATCCATGGAATCGACAAAACCCGCGGCTCTTTGCGGATACTGCTATGGCTTGGATTGAAGGGGAACCTATGCCTGATGGGTTTGAAAAGCTGGTGCATGAATGACATGAGAGGAGCGTTCGCTAACTACAGTATATCTCCAACAGGCAACGAGCGAGGCTGTTGCTGGAAAGGAGTTACATTAGCAATGGGGGAGCACAAAATGTCAAAGGGCCATGTGATTTATGTGCCAACGTTGGAGTGTAGCATGACGTACTTGTAAAGATCTAGAGCACCCAGAGACAAATTCCTGTGATTGACGCCGACGGATCGAAGGGCACACTCGGCCAACCGTCTTGGACGCGTTGAGGTTGTTTTCATCTATTTTGTATTCTACAACAACCACCTGGGGTTATAAGACTTCAAGATAGAAAGGGGGGTTTGTAGTCTCTGATTTGTTCTCCTGCTTGTATAGATGGCACTCCTAGTTGGTGACCTCATTGCTGCCTCTCTGAACCCTATCCGGCACTCCCGCCCCCACATCATCATGTCTCTCCAACGTTGTCATGTCCATTTTCTTTACCAAAATCCAAACCCCACATTGTACAACCAATCCCCTATATAAGCACCATCCACCAAGCCACCAAGCCACCAAGCCACCAAGCCACCAAACCCCATGCCCACCTCTAGATCAAAGTCAAATTCCAACCCCCTCACATCCCCCGCAGTACCAGTAGCCCTCCAACCCCACCACCTCCTCTCCCCACCCGCAGATCTCCTAACCAACACCGCAACCACCTTGACAATAACCCCAACCCCAGACACCAAACCCCCCTCTCCAGCCTTTATAGTCCACCGCATTCGTGCACACGAAGCCCCCGATAGCCCAGACCGCGCTGTCCTCCTCTACTCCGTATACAGCAAACCATGGCCAAACACGAGCCGCGTAGTCTGTGATACCGAGGAGGTGCCGCTGCTCGTGCTGCGACGAGTTTGGCTATCGCGGAAATGGGCCGTTCGACTCCCGGACCAGCATCAGGATTTACTAGTTGCCACAGTGCCGTGGACAGCGGATGGACAGTCAAGGGTTGGGGTTGGGGTTGGGGGTGGGTTTAGGCTGGAAGCGCGGTTTGCGAATGCACTCGCGAGCAGGCCGGGGTCTGGGATTATCAGAGGGAGGGCGGTAGGGGCAGAGGAGTCAGGTTATGTGGCGGACGAGCCGCCGCCTTATAGTGCGATTGCTGGGGTTGGAGTTGAGGGAGGAGGTGGGAGTGGTCAGTGTGAGGGGAATGCGGGGGTGGTACAGAGGAACGAGAAAATACATCCCCCCCTTCCCAATTCACATTCCCATTTTCGGAATCCACTAGCTTCAACACCGCGACATTCACAGCAGCCCCGCTCTCCCTCTATTCTCCCCTCCTACGACTCCGTCCGTCGAGACGCACCTAACCCACTGCGAGATCTGCTCGATGCACTCGAGCCGCCGCACGAGCCGGCGCCGGCCGCACTGTATCCTGTATCTGCATCTGCGTCGCGGAATCTCAATGCCGGTATCGGCACCAGTACCAGTCTTGGTCCGATACATGCAGAAGCCGATGCTATTCCTGGCGCAAAAGTCGAGTTGAGAGTGATGCAGGTAGCTACGTCGGGGACGGGTGTGATGATGGGTAACCAGAAAATTATGAATATCACGCGACATAATGCGATGGACTTCAGTAAATCCAAAGTGAGATTGAGGCCGAGGTGGGAGGTTGAGGTTTCGGAGGGTGTTGATTTGTTACTGGTGAGTCTTTTTTTTTCAGTGGAATTCCCAAGGTTGTTGATCCTATTGGACAGGATGTACTGACGGCTCATGTAGGCTGTGAATTTAGTGTTAATTATGGCTGAGTCTGTGTCGTCTCAGAACCGATGGAAGTAAACATTGTTCAAGGGCGTTAATTGATGTCAATCATATAAGTTGCACAATATAATTAGGTAGAACTGAACAGCTTTTCCAATGGGGGTAAGAATTTCGGATTCTAGATGGATCATCTTGCCCAGTCGACCATCCTCTTCTCTCGCTCGCCAAGCTTTTAAACCATACATTCGTCAGGGGAACAGAGCTTCTTTTTGTTCCGGATTAGGTATTTCGTTGACTCGGATAAGTCGTTCTCGTCAAAACAAAAAAAAAATAGGGTCAACAACAGGGATCAAAACCAGTGCTTTCGCAACAGCAATATCTAATTCCAAGCGCTTACGAGTGAAGCTTAGCCATGCGTTTGGTCATGAAGTCAAAGAAGGAAAACTGGCTAGGCTGGTTGCCGTATTCGTACACAAAGCGGCTGGCCAGGTAGCTGCCAAAGATGGCACGGAGGTAGTTCTCAGGGACCTGAGATGAATTAGCGGGATTCAAAAATAAGACACTCAAGAGGGGGAAGGAAGACATACACGTTCCAAGATGGTCTCAAGACCGATCTTCTCCAACAGACGACGCGGCAGAGCGTCGCTAAGCACAGAGCGACGGAGCGCAACATTATCCCAGAGCTCAGTCATCTGGAGTTCCTCGTCAAGCTTAGTGATGGCCAAGCTGAGACGATCACTGAGGACACTGCGAAGTACCCCAGTCTGCTCGTGTTCGCGCCAGATGGCCTCGAACTCGAGGGCGGCGTTCGACTCGATGACCTCCTGCACATCGCGGACGTAGGCCTTGTAGAACTCGGGGACGGTGCCGTCCTCGCGGATGCACATGTTCTCGACGAACTCCTCGTCGTTGAAAGACAACGAGGCTAGCACCTCCAGGGAGGAAGAGGTCACACCACCCTTGTTGGCGGAGGCATCCTTGTACAAAATACAGCCAGCCTTCTCGAGACGCAGCTTGGCGTCCTGGGTGATGAACAGGTTGGCACCTTCGACGATGAAGGGGATGATAGACTTGTTGTCCCTGATGAGCTTTCCGACGGATGCCAGGTCGATGGACTCGGGGCGGCCACCGCAGGGCACGAACACGTCGAACTTCTCTTGTGAGCGCAGGTGGTATGTGTTACGGAAGATCATGCCGTTGTGGACAACCTCACCGCTGGGGAGCTTGATGTTCTTTTCGTCGACGAGGACGCGGTAGCCCTCGGGGGACAGCTTGGTCATATCAAACTCTGCGATCATGGCGCGCTTCTTGGCCAGGCGAAGAAGTTCTTCGTGGTTCAGACCGTTCGGATCGTAGATCACGCCGGATCCATCAACAATGGCTCCGTACCTCTCGTTGGAGAGAAGAATCTCGTTGGATCCAAGATCGCCGTCGGGACCACCAGTCTGCAGCTTGAGCTGTGTGGCAGGATCGATGTTCAGCTTGCGCTGAATTCCGAGCACGTACTGGCGGACCGAGAGGGTTGTCATACCGTAAGCGTCGTGGGGAATGCCGCCCAGCTTGGGGCTCTTGCCAGTGAAGAATGACTTCCACCAGGGAGCGCCGCGGCCACGAGCGTGCTCGGTGGCCCAGTTGACAAGCTCAGCGGTGTTCTCATCGGGACCCATGAAGAGAATCTCGTCCTTGCCGTGCAGGTCAACGATCGGGTCCTTGATACCGGGGCTGACCGGGGGCAGGAGCAGATCGAGAATACTGTCAATGTACTTCTCAAAGGCGACCCGCGCCTTGTCCTGGTGATCAGCATCCAAGAGGATGACACCCTTGGCACCGCCTTCGGGAATGTCCTTGTTTTTGCGCTGTTGGGTATTGGCCAAGTTGTAGTTCTCATCGAACAACGAGCGAACGTTGATGTTATATGCTTCGCTGTTTCGACTCTTGACGATACGGATACCGCCACGAGCGATGTCACGGAACCGTAGGTGGAAGCCACGGAACTCAGAGCTGATGACAAGGAACATGCCGTAGAGGGGCTGGGGATACTCATGCTCTGGCAGGAAGTCAGGCTTCAGGCGGAAGCTAAGAGCGACCTTCGTCGTGGTAAAGAAGTTGGTCTTGAGGATGGAGGAGTTAAACACGCGGAAGGAGGTCATAACCATCTCGTCGTGCTCGTTAAGGGCGGTGCCACGGATGAGCTGCTTCAGCTTGGCGCCGTCGAGGACCTCGTCGACCTGCAGACGCAGGTAGCTGAGGGTAGGGAGGAAGTCATCCCCAGAATCCCGGGTCTGAACGTAGTGGGTGTTGGCAAAATCAAGGTAGAGCTTGTGGATCAGCTCGGGGTATTTGTTGATAATCTCAAAGATGTAATCAGCGGTGAACGTCTCCGTTCGCAGACGTTTCTTGATCTTTGAGAGCAACTCTGCATGCACACTGTTGTTGCTATCCAAAAGAGCAGCCAACGACGTGTATTCTGAGCCCAGACGGTTGAGGAACTGTTGTACGAACACCCAGGCGCAGTGAGCGTAGATTGTCTCCTGCAAACTTAGACGACCAGTGGCGAAGTGGCCTTGGAAGCGATTCTGGGGGATACAGTACAAAAGGGAGACCTCTTTCATGATCTGGTGGATAGCAGCCTCAATGGGAGGGAACTTGGCCGAAATCTCGGAGTCGTCTGAGGGACGCAGGTAGAGCGAAATCACAGTGATCCCGTTGGAGAAATTCTCCAGGTACTTACGCGAGCTGGTCAAGCGGTAGTAGTGATACAAATCTGACAGAGCACTGAACAGGCCCATAGCAGATCCCTGGCGGTAGGCAATTACCAGACGCTTTTCCCTGCTTCTCTCGATCTCAAACATCTCGATGACGGGACCGGAGCGACCAACTGCTGTGGCGATGATTTCCTGGTAAATCGCCTTGGTGTTGGGAGTGGCCTTCTGCAGGAAACGCTTCTCACCAATGATATCGATGTTGGTCTCATTCGGTGATGGGGTGGGGTGGGCGAACTGGCACTTGTACACAAAGTAGCAGCGGAGCTGCTGGCCGTTTTCGCCAGGCAGAGTGCTAGGCGAGCGGAAGGTCTCCACGCGGTAGCTGTTGGCCCCCTTGGAGTGGTTGATGTATTTCTCGTCAATACGTTGCTCGTAGCGTGGACCGTTGACAGAAACGGTACCGGGCCTGCTGGTATCGATGTAGACGGCATGGTCCTCGGCCTCTTTGTCTAGACGAATCTCCAGCTGTTTATCATCGCGGGCGTACGCGGCAACTTTGGCGGCATAGAGGGATAGGATCTGAGTCACAATGGCATCCACGGATTCGGTCTGGAAGTAGGTATCGTCGATGCCAAGCTTGTTGTAGAACCAGGTGGTTTCGGAGATGACAAAGTCACTAGGGAAGAAGCCCTTCTCCTCCAATATGTCCATAACTGCTGAGAATTAGCCAATTTGTACAAGAGCAATTATCACCAGGCAAATCCACCGACCTTGTTCCATTTGTTTCTGCTTGCCCTCAAAGGTAGCCGCAATGTAGCCCGGGTCTTCCTCGGAGAGCACACGGTGCGGGGTACCGGGAATGCCCAAGTGAGTGGGCTGCGGGGATGGTTGTCGCAAAGCACTTCCAACGGCATGGTCTAAGTGCTTGTTGTGGGGGGGATAGCGCTGGAAACCGATGGGGGTGCCAGCGCCGGAGCTTCCATCCTGGCTCGCAAAGAGCTTCGGCTGAGGACGAGAAGGCAAGCTCGTGCCATTGCCATTGGGAGTCTCCGACTGTGGGGTAGTTACGGGAGACGACATGATGTGGTATGTGAGGTAAATCTCTCAACACGTAAGAGTAAGAAGATGACAGAAGCTGTATTAAGTCAATGAGCATGAGCTGAGGTAAAAGCATCGAGTCGGCACTTGGGAGATTGTGATAAGGCAACACCAAGAATGTTCTTATCTCGACCGGCAAGTTGAGATAACGAGCAAGGAGAGGGATGAACTCACTGGCAAATCCAATGATCACCGATCGTCGCCATGGACTGAAGGTGATGAGAACAGGGAATGATTTTCGAATCAGTTAGGACCATCAAATCCGGGGAACCCTGAGCCTTTTATAAGATACTTGAATCTCAATGGTTAACCGGAATTATCTCTACTCATCCCTATTTTAATCTCTATTATCTCTATTATCTCTATTAATATACACTTTTTGATTTCTATTATTATTACACATATTACACATATTTCCCGTTAATCCCCTTGGCCAGCTATAGCCGATGGTAGGCGGGAGGTTCAACCGTATAGAGGTCTCGAAGCCCATCGAGATCCGCAGTTCCACTTTGTTCCACCCCAAAACACTCGTCCATCTCCACTTTTGACTAAGAAGCGGCGATACGTTGTACGATGATTGGAGCTCACCGCCCCTCCTTCCGAGCTTAAGCCGATAGAAAAAAAAATCCCGCTGCGTCATGCGGGCCGATATGAGGGAAAAAAAAGACATACCTTGAGTCTCGAACGTGGACTGGTTTACAGGAACAGGGGACCAAAAAAAAAAAAAAAGGTGACCGGGTGACATGAAAGAGACTGGATTTGATCAGAGAAAAATTTAAAAAAAAAAGAACTATAGAGGTCACCTGAGATGTCTGATTAAAGTGCACGGATGATGTATATAGGAGGACCTTGGAATGATATGATCTCTATCGAACATCGTGGAATACAATGTGTCATGAAGAACCCACTCGAGGATAAGAAACTCCCCTTTTTTTTTAGTTAAGCTAAATGCCTCATTCTCGATGTTCCAGCCCGAATGGTATACCCCCAGATCGTATCGTGATCGACTGCCCTACTCTCATTTAGATCCACTGGCTGTTTTGGTCCGGGGGATCCTCGCCATTGGAGGACAGTTTGACGAAATTGGACATGTTTTGGCCAATTTCAATTTGATGCAATCTTTGCGAATGTCACCGGCCCGGTGACAGGAAAGCCGGGTGCCAACCTTGGAATATATCTCCATGTGGTCATATCTCCTGAGGGGGTCAGGGCGAGTACCTGGATGACATGCGGGGTAAACGCCGTCTACAGAGTGCACATCTTTCTTCAGTAACA